TCTTGCTGCTTCTGGAGGTACAGCTGCAGCAGCCACCATGGCATCGGACTGAATGAATGCAACCACTCTCCACTTCTCCACTGCCTTTGTCCTCCTCCTAGGTTCCAGAAGTCTCTTGCTGCCTTCCAGTGTCCCCAAAGGGATTTTTCTGGGGAAGAGAATCCAGGGGTGCCTGGAGTCTTATCACCCCTATATCACCATGCTTGGTTGCAAAGAAGCTGTTACTTGGCCACCATCTTGCTCTGAATCCCTGTTTTAATTACTTGTTTATGATGCAGTATGCTTCTAGAAACAATCATATACATATATACACACACACACATATATATATGTATATATACATATACAGATCATCTGCATATATATATGTGTGTGTGTGTGTTTACACTGTTATTGAGATTGCTGAGTATGACAACTCTATGTTAAACTGCTTGAGTCTGTTACCTCTAAGTCTAGTCTCCAAAGAATTGCAACATTTTACATTGTGAAACTGTAGAATTATTCTTACTTTTCTACATGATCTTTGACACCATTATCCAAAATTTTAATTCTAGGCCTCCTGGTGTGTATGAAATATTATGTAGCATTTCACTGCGGTTTTGATTTATATCAAATACCAAAAATCTATCTATGTGATTACTGGCCATGTGAATATCTTCTTTGGAAAAATGTCTATACAGAACGTTTGCCCACTTCAATTACTATTTAATTGGGTTGCAATTTTCATTATTCAATTGTAAGTTTTCTTATCATATATTGAAGATTATAGCCTTAATTAGATACATTATATACAAGAATATCCTTCTACTTTTGTATTGTCTTTTCACTTTCTTTGTAGTGTCCATGGAATTACAGAAGTTTTAAATTTTGATGTAGTTTTATCTATTTATGTTATGATTGGTTGCTCATGTTTTTGTGTCATATCTAAGAATTCATTATAAAATCCAAAATTTTGAATATTTACTCTTTTCTTTTTTCTAAGAGTTTTTATCATTTTAACCATTTAATTTAGGATGTTTATATTTTGATAAGTATTCAACTTTATTCATTTGAATGCAGATATCTTATTGTTCATTTCCAGTGGTTAACCATTTATTGAAGTGATTATTCTTCCTCTCACTGAATGACTAGCATTCTTGTCAAAAATACTGCTCTCCAAAGAACACATGGGATATTTCTGGACTTTCTAGTACACAGGCATAGGCCTGTTTTCAAATTCAATTATCCATAGTGATCTCCTGGTTATTTCCTCATCATGCAGGCCCCACCAGGTTGGGATAACAAAGCTCTCCAGAATCCTTCAAAGGCAGGTTTCACCATGCACCCAGACAACAGTAATGTGGGGTGCAAGAGTCCCTGAGCCTGTCACGATTGAAGGTCGGATCCCAGCAGGTGGAACTAAGAAGGTTGTGTTCCTGTAGGAAGCCAGACCTCACGACCTTCTCTCAACCTTCCCACAATGTCCATCCCCTGGCCGACAAGACCTTCCAAGTATGGCCTTGTCCGCCGCCAAAAAAACAGTAGCAAATCTTCTCTGACCAACTTTCACAACTGGCTACCGTATACTCTTTACAAGTGCACACTCTTCCAGGCTTTCCTCTCAAAGGGCTTCCTCCCATCTCAGACCTCCGCAGAGGGGCTGGTCGCTCCCGCTCCCAGAAAAGTTGCATAGTGTGTCACAACTCTGCTACTCCAGATCATGTACTATATCTAGCCTCTTGCCACACTGATGCACACCCGAGCCACAGCTCCAGGCAAGGACTCCTCACCAGGCACGGCACAGCTTCGCTTTCCTCCATTCCTCAGTTGCACAAGGAGCATTGGGCCAAATACATTTTCTGGTCCACCATCTTGCTCTGCTCCACATTTAAAACTCTCGACTACAAATTGATAATATCAAAATATATAATGAAAGTTATAGAATATGACTTATGAATATCATGAATATCATGAATACTGGTTGGAATTCTCAATTAAATCCTGCTAACCAATGTACTCAAATAAAAAATTAAAAGGCCTAATTTATGGTGATTTATAGTGTTTGACAACTTTCATGGCTACATTTAGGCTAGCAGCGTGATAGCAGTAAACACAGAGCTGGAAAGGTGTTTAAAATATTAATTTTTTGATAAATGATTTGATTTCATTCAGGATGAAACTTATAACATAATCCTTTCAATGAGAGGTATTGATTCTTAATGGTCCAAATGAGAGCAAGGACCTTGAGCTTAGAAGAACCTTAAGAAAAGGTTGCCTCTGTGCTCACCTCCTCTCTCCATTCTATTTGGCTTTTTGATTACATGAACAGGAGAGCACGAACCTGATTGTTCTTACAAAAGGTCAACCCAGTGAAAGTGTTGTTGAACTCTAAGAATGGTCTACCCTTCCTGCTTCTACTTCATTTCTTTCCACTTCTTTTACTTACATTGGTGAATCTGTCTCATGGGTACTGGGAGACGGAACCACTTAACACACTAATTCTGAGAAACCTCTCCCAGTCAAGCTTGATTAAGGAGAAAACCACTTAAGAGGCCCATAGAACAAGAAGAGAGGCATACATTCACTTAAATATTGGTAACCTGAGTCCTAAATTCTAGTATTACCAAGAATAAACAGAAATCTGCAATGGCACAACCCTTTTATTGAACATCACGCTGAAGGCCAAGAGACCCCACAACTTCCCACTGGTACTCCTGCAATCTGACTGTGCTCAGGGAATCTTTAAAAACATCTTCTCTGAACTACAGATGCCCCAAACTCCTTGAAATCTTCAGAAGTGACCCACATCTGCTTGAAAGTGTTCAGAGAGGTTATTATGGATGCACCAATCCATGCAGAGAACCATCTATCAGGAGAAGCCGTGATCTTGATGGGGGTCTCTTTGGAAGCCAGCTGTTCCAGTTCTTTCACGAGCCTTTCCTCCAGGCCAGGAAAGAGAGTGGTGCCCCCGCACAGTACGATCTCTGCAAAAAGGCTCTTCTGAATGTCAGCGTCACATTTCACGATGCTGCTGGAGACCATTTTCGGGAGTCCTGGATTGTGGATGCCTAGCTGGTCAGGTGCAAAGAGAACCTCTGGTACCTGGTGTAGCTGGTGCCCAAGGTGGATGACATTCCCATCTGGAAGTCTGTATTCTCGCAAGACTTCCTCAGGCTTCTTGCATAGCTCTTTCTCTGGCTCCAGCGCAATGTAGCACAGCGTCTCTTTAATGTCGTTCACCAAGGCCTTGTTGAATATGCAAGAAAAAGTACACCCTCTAGCAAAGAGGAGCCGGGTGAGGTGCTCTGTGATGTCCCTCCCTGCCACATAGAGCTTGGTGACTGCATGAGGCAGGGCGTAACCCTCATAGATGGGGACGGTGCAGG